CAGTGAGGGGCATCATGTCTCATAGTGGGGCTGGCTCTGTGGTCCTCTCTGTGGACTGGCTGCTCTAATTGGGAACATCATCCTCAAGGCCTGGTGGGCCAGGATGTGCTCCAGTCTCTCCTCCTCCCCCATCATCTCCTGTGTGCTCTGATCAGATATATCGTTCTCCCCAAGCTGCAGATTCAATGCCATCCTTTGAAATAACTTCTTCTCGGGGGAGGGGCAGGCATCCACTTAGTATTTGGGGCTGGGGCCAGCCCCCCAGACCTCTCCACTGGCTCCCTACTCAGCGCCAGCATGTTGTCTTCACACCTTGGAGCACTGGGTTGAAGTCTTGACCAGCCTCTTTTAACAAATGCTTTCTCACATACACCAGCCTCTTGACCCCTGCTCCTTTTGAATGACAGGAAGTTAAACGTTGACAAGAAGCTGAATAGTCTCTTCAGAGCTATAGATGCAAAGACGTCAGGCCAGGCTAAAATTGGATTTCACAAAACCACCACCACCAAACACACTGCCATCAAGCCGATTTTGACCCATAGTGACCCTCTCCCACAGAGTAAAACTGCCCCTGTAACTCTTCCCTGGAATAGGTAGTCCTGTCTTCCTCATGAGGTGCGGGGAGGCCAGTGACTTTGAGCTGCTGACCTTGAAGTTAGAAGCCCAACTGATAGTCCCTGTGCCATCAGGGCTCCTCCAAAGTTTGCTTTAAAATGGGGTTTAATTTTGATTGGGGTCCACCACTCAGTCTTGCCCCGTGCCTCAGTTCTGGGACGCCTGACTCAGACATGTCAGGGCACCCCCAGGAGAGGTCAGTAGGGCTCCAGAAGGGAGCAGGAGCTCAGGCCCAGGTTTTGGCTGCTTCAAAAGACCCTCCCTCTCCCCCCTGCACCGCCTACCTCCCCCACAAAAGCACTCCTTTGCAGAGTTTTAGATTCTAACAGGAAAAACTTCAAGTTAAACTCACAATGTGCATCTACAAAGAAAACATTTTATCTACAGAGATAAGCAGTGAGTAAATATTTTTAAGAGATAGTATCTTCCCAAACATTGTCATCCCTGCTTCTGAGATCAGCCAGACACTAGACTGGCAGAAAACACCTTAGACTCCTTATCAGAATAAGAGCCATGGTCACCTGACCTCCTTCTGAGAGGGGGAATCCCTTCCGCAGCTTCTCCCCACTGCCCACACAGTGGGAGAAGTGGCCCTGTGGGTTTTCAAGATTGTAACTAGCTCTTGACTGGAGTCTAAAGCCCTGTTTTTTTCCCTAGCAATGGGTGGTAGTTTCAAACTGCTGACCTTGAAGTTAGCAGCCCTACAAGAAACCACTTCAGTGGCCCCTCCAGTGAGGCTCTCTCTCTCTCTAAGCCTTTCTTTCCATGTTGAAAAGAGCGAGCCTCATTCCAAACACAGTGGATGTCAACTCGTGGCCACCCCCTAGGATTGTCAATGGTTATAAACTCATAGAGTGTCTCGCTCTTTACGGAACTAGGAGGCCTGTCTTTCTCCCATGGAGCGGCGGGTGGTTTCGAACTCCCTACCTTCAGTTAGCAGCCCAGCGTGTCACCAGGACACCACCAGGGTTTGCAAACCCACAGGGCAGTTCTACTCTGTCCTAGGGGGTCGCTATGAGTCAGCATCGACTTGATGGCACTGAGTGCGGTGAGTTTTGGTAATCTCAGAGAGCAGATCACCAGACGTGCTTCTGAGGATTCTGAGTGGGCTGGAACCTCCAACCCTTTGATGAGCAGCCAACTGTATTGAAACCCCCCCTCCCACCCCCCAGGGACTTCTCTTTCAGAAAGCTCATCCCCATCTGAAGGCAAGAGCTGCTTTGCTTTAACTTCAGCTCATTCTTTCTAGTACAGCCCGCAGGAACTCCGGGAACAAATCTGGCTTCTCTCCTTCTTGGCTGTCCATCAAATGCTTGCACACAGATGTCGGATCCCCCACCTCTTCCTCCTCTGGGCCGCCAGCCATGGCTTCCATACCTCCTGAGGACCTAGGCTGAGCAGAGCCCCACTCCTGTCCCATAGTCGTTGGGCCTCTCGTATTCTCTTGGATTCCGAGCCCTTCCTCCCATGTCTCCCGGGCTCACTTCCTACAGCACCCACCAGAGACACGCTGTGACCCGTGCTGGCCACCGAGCTTCCTCGGGGGCTCTGTTTCCCGAGTGCCGACTCGCAGGCTTTGTGTCCATTCTAGTCCTCTGTTTGTCTCAGGAGGGAAGGTCTCCCCCCAACCCCCCGCCCCACCAACAAAGCACTTCTTAAAGTCTTTATTTTTAAATTAAAAAGAAATTTAATACAAGACAATCTTATTGGGGGCTCTTACAGCTCTTATAACAATCCATACAATTGTACCAGGCACATTTGTACATATGCTGCCATCATTAGTTTCTACACATTTACTTTTTAGTTGAGCCCTTGGTATCAGCTCCTCTTTTTTCCCCTCCCTTCCCCCACCCCACCTCGTGACCCCTTGATAAATTATAAATTCTTATTATTTTCATATCTCTTTCTCCCTTCCCCCATGGTTCCTGTTGTTCGTCCCCCAGGTGGGTGGGGCTATGTGTCCATCATTGTGATTGGTTCCCCCTTCCTTCCCTCCTCTCCCTACCTTCCCCCCACCCTCCTGGTATTGCTGCTCCCAAATCTGTTCCTAGATTCCATGTGTCAGGAGCTCTTATCTCTCGCTCTTTTTTATCGTTTTATTGGGGGCTCATACAACTCTTATCACAATCCATACATACATCAATTGTGTAAAGCACATTTGTACATTCATTGCCCTCATCATTCTCAAAACATTTCCTCTCCACTTAAGCCCCTGGCATCAGGTCCTCATTTTCCCCCCTCCCTCCCCGCTTCCCCCTCCCTCATGAACCCCTGATAATTTATAAATTATTATTTTGTCATATCTTAGTTCGTTTGCAGCTACCTGGGTGGTGGGCTCAGAATACCTCTCTGGCAGCTGGTGGCTCTGAGGAGGCTCTGCAAGGGTGGGGAGCAGAGGACAGTGGGGGAGAATGTGGTGCTGCCTGCCTGGAAGCCGCTCTTTGCCCTAAGCTCCAGGGAGCTCCCCATTCAGATCTGCCCCCCAAATATGTTCCCCCTGGGCGCCCCTCAAGCATCCCTCCCAGCAGGCTAAGTCTAGGGACCAGCTTGGCCAGAGGGGACTTTTAGCAAAGGTTTTAGTACCACCCCCACCCACGACCCCTTCTTCAGGGGAATGAACCCGAGAGCAACCCTGGGCAGGGAGGTCGAGGACGAGCACAGGGGAGGGAAGAAAAGAAATGGCACCCAGTATTTATTGTTTGGTTTTAATATTGATCCGAAAGCCTAGCTTCATTTCAAATATAAACATTCTGGCTATATTTCAAATATTGATATCTAAGTTTCAAATACAGGTGAGCCCGTGAGAGTAACCAGGTGACAGTTGTGCCATCAGCCAAGTCTGTGCTAGGCTGCAGCCTCATGCTCCTCATTCATCTTTTCCTTCCTCCCAGAAAGCGAGGTTCTCTGAGCACTGCAGTGGACCAGGGCCTCCCTCTTTGGGAGGAAAGAGGTACATGAATTCACACTACAGTGTCAATGGCTAGATGTCCCCCCCCCCCATCCCCCACCCCAAATTTACTCCAATCAGGCATATTTCCATCCCAAAAGAGAGCCTAGGGCATAGGCAATGCTTTATCTAAAGGCCTGGACTACTCAACTCACAGTGCAATTTCAGGAATGAGGGGTGGTGGGTCGGGATTGTTTAAGCAGCGGTTCCCAACCTGTGGGTTCGGGACCCCCAGAAGGGGGTCGAATGACCCTTTCACAGGGGTCACTTGATTCATCACAGTAGCAAAATGACACTGATGAAGTAGCAACAAAAATAATTTTATGGTTGGGAGGTCGCTACAACATGAGGAACTGTATGAAAGGGTCACCGCGCTAGGAAGGCTGAGAACCACCGGGTTAAGGGAAGAACAAGAGGCTGGACAACAGTTTTCTCAGCCCCTAAAGTAGGCGGAGAGATTTGTTCACATTCCTGGTAAAAACGTTCCTGAAAAGCTATGCATAAATAATGTGCTTATTGGTCCAATCCTGCTTTTAAGGCATTGACCAAGTTTGCCTAAGAATGTATGCGCTCTTTGGGAACTAAATATTGATGCTAGGAAAAACAAAGCAAAACAAAGCCAACGCAGGGCCGCAGTGTCCCTGGTCTCCAAGACTTCCACTCTTTACAGCAGTAGAAAGCCCCGCCTCCTCCCAAGGAGCTGGCTGGTGGTTTGAACTGCTGACCTCACAGTTAGCAGCCTACCTCGTAAGCACTATGCCACCAGGGCTCTTGTTAGGTTTCTCGGGTGGGAAAGAATTTGCGCTGAAGTCTAGTTTGTGATCCAGGTGGGTTTTGATGACGGATAGCAGTTTCAGGCGTTACAGTGACTGAACACAAGCACCCTCATGACACTGCACACCCACGTGGTGTCCGGAGGGGGGTGTGGGAGAGAGGGAGAGAGAGGGGGAGGGGGAGGGAGAGGGAGAAGGGGAGGGAGAGGGAGAGGGAGAGGGACCTCAGAGCAGCAGCTGGAAAGGCGAAGGTGGTTTCCCGGTTCAGGCTTTTTTAGTGCCTTCAGCTGGGAGGCGTGGTCGATGGTGCTGGCTGGCCCCATTGGCTGAATTAAGCCCACCTGGCCTATCCAGGTGTACCGCCCCCCTTGCTTGTGGGGGGGGGGGGGGGGGCCCTAAATTGGCGCCTGTCCTTTAGCTTTTATGGGATTCCAATTCCCTGTCGGAGCCCCAAGGCATGGAGAGGAGCAACTCCCTATCCGGCTACCTAACACTCCCATTAATGATAGTTATTATTGATATCTACTATTATTATTGTTACTATCACTCCCTGTTAATGACAGTGAATACGTTCCCACTGTTGGCAACAAGCCAGGCCCCGTCCCCAACTGTGATCACCGCTCTATTCCTCACACACCAAGGGGCCCTGGTGGTGTCCCCACTTTACAAAGGAGGAAACTGAGGCACAGAGAGCCTTAGTAGCTCAGAGGCCGTCACCTGGCTGCTGCTGAGAGCAGGCGTCTCAGGCTTCTCCCAAGCTCTGACCTGGGGAACCCACCTCCCTCTCTCTGCAGCGGCCTTGAAGTTTTGTACCCAGAGCTCGGGAACATCAGCTGCAGGTATGTCCCCGACTGCAGCAACTACAGACAGAAGATCACCTACTGGCTCCAGCCCATCGTCAGGTTCCAGGGAGCCTTAGAGGTGAGCGAGCGAGGTCGTGGGGTCCTGCTCTCCCTCAGAGCTCGGCGCTTGCTCATCTGGGGGACTTGACCCGCCCGCAGAGCCATCTGCAAAGGGTCTGGTAGTGGCAGATGGCTGGGGCACAACCTGTACCTATGAGGTGGTTCCACGGAGTGTTGTGTGTTGGGGGGTAGGGAGTGGAGCCTGCACACCGGGAGCTGTGTGGGTTCTCTGGGCCCTCCCTGCTCTGAGCCTGCTGGGCTGAACGCCTGAGGCCCGGGCTGGTGTGTGCTTGGGAGTCCACTGAGGAGAGAAGCCTGGGGCAATGAGGGAGTCCTTTCTCCAAGGTGCCAGGGGGCTGGGCTCTATGAAAGAGCTTCCCCTTGATAAGCAGAGGTCAGGCATCTCCCTTGACCCCTGTCATCGCATGGTTAAAGATGCTCTTCTTTGGCCCACAGTTTTTAAAAATAGATGGAGGCATTTTGGAAATTGGAAGTGACTCTTTATGATATTGGGAAATGATCAGTACCACGTTGCTCCGGAAGCTTCCTTTTGCTGTGTGTGCTTGATGGGGGCGGGGGAGCCCTGGTGGTGTAGTGGTTTTGTGTTGGTCTGCGATCCACATGTTCAGCAGTTCGAAACCACCCACTGCTCTGCGGGAGAAAGACTGGGTTCTCTATTCCTGTAAACAGCTACAGTCTCAGAAACCTACTGTGTGTGTTGGAGGTCATTAAGGGCAGTGGGAGTGGGAAGCGGGGTCACTGCTGCCGCCCTCAGTAGCCAGACTATGTTTGGGGGCAGCGACTCCAGCTTCTTCATTGTCATCGGCTTGTAGGGCCAGACTGAGCCCTCAGAGTGTCGTGGGTGGAGGGCGACTTCTTGCTTTCTGCTGTCTTTTAGCGTGCAGTGTCAATGTCAGCCTAGCACCAGGGCACAAGGGCGACAAACTCACTGCCATCGAGGGGATATACTGACTGATGGTGACCTTCTGGGACAGGGTAGAAATGCCCGTTGGGGTTTCTGAGAGTGCCACTCTTCCCCGGGGTAGAACGCCCGTCTTTCTTTTGCGGAGTGGCGGGTACTTTGGGGCTACCAGGGCTCCTCTTGTTGAGGGATAAGCTTTCCAAAACAGACACCGGCCTTCTAGGAATTAGAAATGACACTTTCTGGTCCTGGGAAGTGATGACAAACGCACTGCCATCGAGTGCATTCCAATTCCCGGCCATCCTACAGGACGGAGTGGAACTGCGCCTGTGGGCTTCGGAGGCTCTGACTCTTGATGGGAACAGGCAGGAGTCCTGGTGTTGCAGTGGGTCAGCCCTACAACAAGATCAGCTAACCGCAAGACCAGCAGTTCGAAACCCATTATGAAGAGAAACCCACGCTGTAGGGTCGACTAGGAGTTGGAATCAATGGCAGCGGGTTTGTTTTTATGGGGAAGGGGGAACAGACAGCCTCTCTTTCTCATGTAGAACCATTGGTGGATTCGAACTGCTGACCTCGTGGTTAGCCGCTCAGTGAGTAACTCACTATGCCACCAGGGCTCCTTGGGAAAGGATTCATGCCATGTTACCTTATTTCTTTCTTGAACTGATTTGTACTGTTAGAGAGTAAGTGAACTGTGGTTATGTCTCAAAATCTGAGAGGTTGATTTTTATGACATTTTGTTAGTTTGTGAATCCTGCTGATGCTATTGGACTGCTAATTGCAAGGTTGGGGGTTCAAACTCACAGCTGCTTCTTAGGAGAAAGATGAGGCTGTCTGCTCGCATAAAGATTTACAGGCTGGATTGAATTTATGTGAATGGTGGTGGAATAATTGGAAAGGGATATCAACAGTGCTTATACAACACGAAGAGCATCTTCGATGGCACTGAATCACACAGGTAGAAGGTCGTGGAGTTGGGGGGTGTTTTGTTGAGTACCCTTTAGCCACAATTAGGGAAAAAATTACACGAACAACAATCAGTACAAAAAGAACGTGTTCTAGAATTGACTGTGGTGACAATTGTACAACTCATGTTGATATGGTTAAACTATTGCTTTGTATGACATGTGATGAAGTGCTGAATAAAAATGTATTTAAAAAAAGATTCTCAGCCTTAGAAACCCTATACAGGGCCACTAGGAACCGGTATCTAGTCAATAGCAGTGTTGGGGCGGGGAGGGGCAGACAGGGAGGAAGACTGCTGGTCTATAGTGTTTGCAACAATGACTAACTTCCTTTTCTCTGGGAAGTCTAGTCTAGTAAGCAAGCCTGGACCCCCTCTGGGTCTCATCTCTCCCTGGACACACACACACACTCACACACACACACACACACACATACACACACACACGCTCACACACACTCACATACATATATGCTCTCACACACACATACTTACACAACCACACACATGCACGTGGCAGCCCTTCTCCCTGGAGCCCTTTGGGCTGAGTCACACCTGTGGACAGCTAAGAGGAAGGAAAGGCTGCTAGGGTGATTACCCTGGGGATGGAAGGTGGAGGGCGGGTCCCCGGGATAGGGCAGGGACCCAGTGCCTGACGCAAAGATTCTATGTTACCCGCATGGCACAGGGCTCTCTGCTTCATTTGTGAGATGAGGGGGTTGGACCAGGTGCCCTTCTAATCCCAGGATTCTTCCAAGGGAGAGTTAGTTGTCAGCAAGGGCCCTCAGCCCACTCTCCGTTTGCTGATATTGCCACAGATGTCCACTAGATGGCGGTGTAGACTTTTCTGAGTACTGGGCGCTGAGCCTACAGGGATTTGCAGCTGTCTTCAGACTGTAGGCAGGACTGTAGTTGATACAACTTCAACCTTTTCTCCATTTATCATAATGTCCCCCGTTGATCCAATTGTGAGGATTTGGGTCTTCCTTACATTGAGTTGCAATCCATACTGAAGGCTGCCATCCTTGCTCTTCATCAGCAAGTGCTCCAAGTCCTCCTCACATTCAGCAAGCAAGGTTGTGTTATCTGCATCCTGCAGATTGTTAATAAGTCTTCCTGCAATCCTGACGCCACACTCTTCTTAATATAATCCAGCTTCTCTGATGACTTTCTCAGCAGGGAAACTGAAGAGGTATGGTGAGAGGTACAACCCTGACGCACATCTTTCCTGATTTTAATCCATGCAGGATTCCCTTGTTCTGCCTCTTGATGCTCGCACAAGTCCCAAATTTGCACAATGAAGTGTTCTGGAATTCCCGTTCTTCTCAAGGTTGCCCCCAGTTTGTGATGGTCCCCACAGTCACATGCCCTGTCATAGTCAATGAAACACAAGTAAACATCTCTCTGGTATCCTCTGCTTTGAACCCAGATGCATCTGGCATCAGCGATGACATCCCTTGTTCCACACCCTCCTCTGCATCTGAATCTGAATCGGGCCTGAACTTTCGACAGAACCTTAGGTGATGGAAATGCAACTGACCTTTGAGGGAGCAGGTTCCATGTTTTGGTTTTGACTACTGTTGTTGATACCAAGACCCAAACTAAGCTCACTGCTGACTCCTAGAGACCCTGGGGCTTTCCAAGACGTAACCCTTCATGGGAATAGAAGGCCCAGTCTCTCTCCGGGGAGGAGCTGCTGCTGGTTTCAAACTCCCAACCATGGGGATCTCAGGCTAATGCATAACTGCGACACCATCAGGGCTCCTTAGCGTGTGTGTGTCTTTGCAAACTGGGCAGTGTCCAGGAGTGCCGTTTGGTGCCATCTGGTGCATTGTCATTGGCCTCTAAGCCCCCTCACTGCTGTTGGGTTCATTCTGACTCCTCTTACTCCACTCACTGCCCTCGAGCCGGGCGGCTCATGGCGACCCGGTAACACGGGGCGGGACCTTCCCGGTCAGTCTCTAAGATGGAAACTCTTTTAAAAAATAATTTTATGGAGTGCTCGTACAACCCTTATCACAATCCAGCCATCATCCATCGTGTCAAGCTTATTTGTACATTTGTTGCCATCATCATTCTTAAAACATTTTCTTTCTACTTGAGCCATTGATATCAGCTCCTCGTTTTTCCCCTCCCTCCCCCACGAACCCTTGATAAGTTATAATTTTTTTTCATGTCTCACACTGTCTGATGTCTCCCTTCACCTACATTTCTGTTGTCCATCCCCCAGGGAGGGGGTTCTATGTAGATCCTTATGATCAGTTCCCCCTTTCTCCCACCTTCCTCTTCCCCTCCTGGTATCTCTACTCTCATTATTGGTCCTGAAGGGTTTATATGTCCTGGATTCCCTGTGTTTCCAGCTCTGATCTGTACCAGTGTACATGCTCTGGTCTAGCCAGATTTGTAAGCTAGAATTGGGATCATGATAGTGGTGGGGTGGGGGTGGGGCAAAGCATTAAAGAGGAAAGTTGTATGTTTCATCGGTGTTATACTGCACCCTGACTGGCTTGTCTCCTCCCCATGACCCTTCTGTAAGGGAATATCCAGTTGCCTACAGATGGGCTTTGGGTCTCCACTCTGCACCCCGCCCCCCATTCACATTGATATGATTTTTTTGTTCTTTGATGCCTGTTACCTGCTCCTAACAACACTTCGTGATCACACAGGCTGTGTGCTTCTTCCATGTAGGCTTTGTTGCTTCGAGACTGGAACTCTTGATGGGAGTAGAAAGCCCTGTCCTCCCTCTGAGCAGCTGGTGGTTTCGAACTGCTGAGCTGTGGTTAAGAGCCCAACTTGTAACCACTATGCCATGAGGGCTCCCGATTCTGACTCATAGTGACCCTGTATAGGGTTTCCAAGGTTGTAGATCTTTACTGGAACAGACCATCTCATCTTCCCCTGAGTAGAGGCTGGTGGGTTTGAACCCCCAACCTGACAGTTCTTTACGGATACCATGTATTAGAAGTCACTTTGTCCTGGCTACTATGCTTGTGCCGTGTTATTTAATTTTATTGTTGAGTCTGAAAGCTAAGTATTTTGTGAATTGAGACGTCTCTGGGTGGAGAGGGACGTGGAGAGGGACGAAAGACAAACGCTCACTGGCTTCCGCTAAGAGAAAAAGGCACTAGAG